CATCTTAAGAGTAACTAATCTTTTCAGGTCCTTCTGTTCTTCCTAACAATAATACAACACTCTGTTTCGGAGAAGCGTGTTTGGAGCTGAAACTAAACAGTGCCCTAATATTCTGCAATGTGACCTCCTTTGAATATTGTTAACCATTTTAAAGCTTCGTTATCAACCGCAATTAACCATAAGAAACGCATAGAAACCCTAGCTATATAGTTCGAACTTCAAATTGAGCAATGAGAAACAAGAAACTGGTATTTGTGTAAGGAGAGTGACCAACCTTGAAAGACGAAGAAGAATTGGCTTCCATGGCAGTCAATCAGTGAGTCACTCCGAGCCTTCGAACTTGGAAGAAGCGGTTGATGTGGGGGCTCGGACACGAGGAAATGCCAAAGATAGGCCCTTCTTTTACAAGGCGGTTAGGCGTTTTTATCACGCGGGTCTTGACTTTTTTAACGCCGTTTACTCATTTAGGCGCGTTTTTACGACGCCGTATTGGCATTTTAACGCTAACGCGTCACTGTTCTGCAAAGTGCGACGAATACAAATTGGTCGAATTGGCCTTTTCGATTTTTTTCCCGTTCTCTTGGCACCGAGCCCAAATCGATTTCAATGGACCGCCTTAAATCGAGTCAACGTGGCCCAATGGATGTTGGCGGATCAGAAAAAATGTCCGAGCCTTGTCAGTTCCGCCTTAAATCGAGTCAACGTGGCCCAATGGATGTTGGCGGATCAGAAAAAATGTCTGAGCCTTGTCAGTTCCGTGGGAGAAAAAGGAAAATCAGGATAACTTTGTAAATAATTTTATTAATAAGGGTAATTGTTAAATAAAATTTATTGTTTCAGCTAGCTCTTCTTCTTCTAATGGTTCTTCTCTTTATAATGATGTACTAATTTCAAATAAAACTGCTATATAATAATTGGAAGTCTTGAAATTTTGGGAACTTAGTAAAAATTTGGGTTTAAAATGATATAATTACCTAATAATATAAATGGAGATTCACTATTATACCCAATATAGGAGCCCAAATAATAAAATACCCTATATGAAATGGACTTTAGAAACATACCCAAAGGTCATTTACAACATAACAAAAAGGCTTTTAACTTCTTTTAAATTACAAAACTGCCATTAATTTCTTAAAACAAACTCACCCCCAAAATCTCATGCAAAAGTCCAAAACACTCAATAGGACATCAAAGTAATTTAATATTCAAAATTAAATTCAATAGGGCCAGTTGTCATTTTTTGGGTGTTTTTTGGGTTTGTTTATAGAAATTAAATTATGTAGGGTTTATTTATAGTTTTAGTGCTAATAATGGATATATGACTAAATATCTCTAATATAAATTGGATATTTGCTTTGAAAAAAAATAGATCTATCACTTCATTATGGAAATCTTGTAAGTCAAGTAGAGAGTGGCTCATCATGTAAGTTTGTATCTTCTCTCAAGGATCCCTTACACCACTTTAAAATTTAAATCAGTTGTTTAGTTAGCATAATGAAGAAGCTCCCATTGAGTGTCATTATGAAATAATTAAGGAGCTGCCATTAATATTAGTAAAACCTACCTATAGTGGGGATACCATTAATGTTATCCCAAATCAATCACTCATTGTCATGTATTTTAACTTTTTGATATTGCAATGCAACTTTTCAACATAACATTGTGTGATAGGCTCGAGATACATCTCTATTACATGTAAGTTATCGGCATGAAGGGTCACCAAGTCAAATATTTAACACTAATTTTGTTTGGGGATGGCGACCAATATTACAAATTTCCAAAGTGCTTTTTTATTCATGTCACTTCTTTCCGACATTTCAAAAGTGGCCTAATTTTGATACTTCCACCTTGGACGGTTCTGAATGAGCCTCCATGAAAGCAATGATTCTATATATATATTGATGTCATCATGTCAGTAATTAACTTGAGAAGTTTAAAAACCTAATTCGCACGTTTATGATTTGTGTGAATTAAAAAGAAGGTTTTTCGTACAAACACTCCATTTCCTTCATTGAAACAAAACTAGATATACTAATTAATTAGATCCTCCTGAGAGACTGCCCTCACCACACTGAAGTGAGTAAGGAGACGAACAAAATGACATTTTTCATTTTTCTCACTACATTTAAAGGAGCTGCAAAGGAATATATATAATATGGCATTCGACAAGGGAAAAAAAACAGCAAGAAATGAAACTAATCACATTTGACTCTTTGTTGTTGTCCTATATAGCCACTACTAGTAGTAGTAGAAGTTCCGCATTTTCTTTTATGTAAGAAATACGAACTCTGGTTTACTCTCTCCTTCCTTGTAGCTTTTTTTATAAAAAAAAAAAAAAGAGAACCTTCATTTCATTGTAGCTTTAGACTCTTCATCCTGCATGAAAAAAAAAAATAGTATTCAGAGTAATGCTACATTTTCCAAAAGTATTTATATTTATAAAATTTAAAAAATTTAAAAAAAACAGAATAAAACCTTAAACAACAAATGCAGACCAAGAAATTAATAGAAAATTGTAATAAAAAATATATACCTTTGTTCTTCAATATCCATGGAGTTAGAGTAGGCTTTGCCGTTCCCAGCAACAGCACCAGGTTTTCTATAATTGGGCAAGGGCACCTCACCAGCCTCAATCTTGTTGACATCTTCCACAAGCATCTCATAGTGCCTCTTCACTTCCTCCACTGATTTCCCACCCACAGCCCTCGCCAGATTGTGCCAGCGGTCCGGCGTGTCCTTGTCGTAAACAGCTAGGGCATTTTCGAACATCTTGTTCTGCCTTGACGTCCACGATCCCGATGAGGCCATTGCGACAACTGATCCAACACTATATATTATAAATTATAATGGTTATGAGGAGAGGAAATGCGAAATGGGGTTGATTTAGTCTTGAGCAGAAAGAGAATGGCAGCTCTGCTCTTTATATACAGGAGGGAAGAGAGAGAGAGAGAGAGAGAGAGAGTGGGGTCGAGTTGGGTTTTGGTTGCACAGCTGTTTCTTTCCTTGCAAAACAATGAGGGGATTTGTAATAACCTACGTGGTTTTCTTTTTCACTTTCCAGGTAATATTTATTTCATGGGTTTGCGGATTTTAGTCTTAAACCCCAAGAATATGTAATTCAATGCATGCCATGCCGACTTTCCTTTACACAAGAAAAGTGATGTCCCTCTTTCCACTTCACAATTTCTTCTTGCACATTTCTTCTTGTAAAGCTCATACTTTCACCATACGTTACCACATTCTAGTTTAGGAATTTACTCAAGAATATGTACGTATAATTTCAGTGACATTGTATTGTCATAAATTATTCTTTTTGTGACCGTTGTAGAATATTAAAATATTAATTTTGAGAGTACTCATAATGACAAATTGGGAGTGTGAATAACTGTTTCTCTTGTATATAATATTTAATTAGTGTTATGACCTTTCATATATAGTTGATACATCGACCATTAGATTAGTGGTCGTTGGATGGCACCTAATCCCAATGTGAATAGGCATGATTTACGTGCAAGAAGAAATGCTTCTCATCCATTTTGGGCAAAATTTTCAGTTATTTTGGGGTGTGCCATTTGTAAGTCATTTTCAAATCGGCTATTCAATAAATCTAGCTTATAGATCTACATTGGTAGCTTTTCAGTTTTTATGATTGGTAGCTTTTCAGTATAGATGTAGCTGCAGCTAGCAAGAAAAGGTCTTCAATATATATAGATGACCTGGAATGTACGTGACTTCAAATTTCCAAAACCAAACTTAAATAGCTTTCAAAGTACTGGTTCAGCAACATATAAGTTTATTATTGGTACTTGCACCTGAAGTTTGCCAAGAGGGTACTTTTGCACATGCCCCTGCAACTTGATTAATTACTTTAACTGGTATACATTACTATACTAAACAAAATTAAGTACCTCTAGACTAGAACAATGCTTGAATCATTCCTTACAACGAGTCATTTTACGTGTCGAATTGTTATTCGTCCGTAAAATGAATACCGCATTAGGTGGGTCCAGTCCAGGTAATAAATCCCACGGCTGTACTAGTTTTGGCATTCACGGGTTCACCACAACAACACACCATGCGGCCCAGATGGATAATTGATATATATTCACGAAAAGAATGCCATGCGAAAGCCGTCGAACTGTATGAGGAGGGTACGCAACACACAAAAATCACTCTGCTTTCTATCTTTTCAAGCGTTTTCTGCGTTTGCGGTCAATCTCAACCCAACCCTGCACTCACTTGTTTAGTCGTCACTTTCTTATCAAATAACCTTCCAAAACATTTCTAGCTGGCTCCTCATGCCACCCTCTCACTCAGTACATGGATTGCACACCCAAAATAAGCGAAGCATTTTTTAACCATTGATCCTAACTTCTCTATAGACCGTAGTTTACAGCTTGCATTATCTATATATATCATATATATATATATATGCTTCAATTCAACATTAAAGGATATGATTTCTAAACGTGGCCAAGCACATCACATTCAAACTGTTCTGCCCCACACTACAAGAATACCATTGAGAATAATTTGAGACCATGCTTATAGAGTGAGACATTAATGAGACTAGTTTTTCATTGCTAAGTAAACATGCCCTCTTTATCTTTTACCCTGCAGAACTTGTACTGAGTTCAGGCAAAAATTCCAATACTAGCTACCAATTTGTACTATTGTCTTACAGACAGTTGGCAACGCTTTTATTCGGCTTGATTTTCGTAGAATCTGATTGCAATATGTGGCCAGTCTGTTGCTGTTGGTTGACACAGTGCAGCTGTCTTGAAAGCAAATATTTATTCTGTCTTTAGGTTTAAGAGACTCGTTTTAGAAAATGTGATGGATACCAATAAACAATTTGATAAACTACATATCTGTAACTCAACTAATCTTACTTTCAGTAGTTCATGATGTTTACTTGTATTTTTCTCTTCTTGATTCAATTGCTGTCTCTTACTGCTATAAGGGAAGGAGCACTGAAAGGGGTTCCTAGTCATTGGCTTTGGATATGCACTGATATATGCAAAGGCCCTTTGTGGTGACCCTGCCCTGTTGAATACAACAGCTCAGGCAACTTTTTTGAGCAGCACTGATCCCTTGAGTTGAGGTACATATAAATATTTCTGATGCTATATATTTGGAATCCTTATCATCATCCACGTCACGGTGCAATAAGAATTTATCTCTATAGATATGCCTTTCCTTCAATTTCAAAAGCTGTGACAGTACTGTTTTTCCTTTCCTGGTGGCCCTTGTTGCAAGTTGGAGAGCCTGGTCACTTTTTTGGCTTCCATTCCATGGCCATCATAACTTAAGGAAGATGCGTTTCGATCGACGGATTCTTTCGAAGACCAAGGGCTGTATACTGAATAGGTTCTCTTGATCAGATCATAGATGATGGCAATGGCGAATCCACCACCTTTTATTCACAATGTAGACTAGTATATGAATGTAATTTGCCAGTTAGACGGTGCATGCACATGCAAACACTGGTAGAAAGAATTTAACAGTGCTAATTGCTAATTAAGGTTCTCACTTGTTGATCAAGCTCCTACAATTTTGGCAAAGGAAGTGACATAATATACCCCTACCTGCACAGTCCACACGCACAATGTGACCGTTCGATGGCGATCTGGAATCCTTATCATTTGGTGCTCATGTTTCCAATGGTAAAGTTGCCTTTATGGGTACCCCTTCTCTGTCCATCAACAGCTTTGCATGAGACCCTTTTTAATTTATTCTCTCTCCATCCATGCGGTCCCTCCTCACAAGTTGGAATTGGCCTAGCTAATAGACTTCTTTGCCAATGTAAGTGTTGATGAGGACTGAGGCAAATGTGTTTGAATGGATTCTTTTGGATTCGACTTGTGATCGATTTTGTTTTTGTCTTCGGCTTATAGAATTGTTCAGAGCCAGGGAAGGCAACCATGAATCTACATATACCTTTTATGAGAAGAGAACAGGGACCTGACCTGATCTGATTCAGCTTTGGATAGAAAAGTTTGATAGGGTGATAATTGTCCAATATAGGTCCCTATATTTTCTATTTCCTAGACATATACCCATCACTCTATAAATTTATGTGTAAAACCCAATTTCAAATTTAAATGACCATTAGAATATAAGAGGTTATAGTATTCCTATGTTTTTACATCGTTGCCACTAGACTTCATATTTTATGGCTACTCCATTTCTTTTGGTAATTAATACTCTCTATTAATAGCATATCAATCACCCCATTTCTTTTGGTTGCCATTCCCTCTAACATATCGCCCCTAAAATTGCAAACCAAAAATAAAAATTGTAAATTACATATCCAATAATGTACCTATGAAAAATATAAATATAAATATATACGTATAAAAATATAGGTATATTATTTACCAAAAAAATTTACAGAAAAATAGGTACACAATAATCTATAGAAAATACAGATACAAAATAATTTATAAAAAAAATAATAGGTAGATTATTACAGAAAAATAGGTACACAATAATTTATAATAAATAAAAAAAGGTAGATTATTATCCATGAAAAAACTAGGTGCAATAAATGAAATCCAAGTTCTAAAATAGGTAGATTATTATCCATGAAAATTGCCTTTTTTGGCCAACACATTGTTGACTGTATTAATAAATTTTAATAATAAAATGGATAATTAATTGCAGACAAAATTTTTAGAGGGAATCGCCATAATAAATTGGGGAACCAAAAGTTAAAACACCACCCCATTACACGTTGAAATATAAATAGGGGTATTTTGGGAATTAAAAAATTATAATAAATCAGATATATAACTTAATAAGGTAACTTGATGAGTTGGATCCTAATCATAAGATTTTACTTATAAAAATTGGTTGGTCCAGTTGGTTTGGTCCAGTTGCATTTAAAAAGGGAATTTCCAGTTGGTTGGTCCAGTTGCTGAAAAATAATGAGATAGAAAACATCAGAAGAAGCAGCAGGTGATATGATGATATCTTTGTCATCATGAGCTGTATAAGCAGAAAGACGTATAGTATTCCCAGCTGCAAGGATTAATCTTGAAACTAGTCTTAGGATTGTTAAACAACTGATCAGTCCAGCTTGGGTTTATAAGGATTTAGAATTGTCCTAAATCCATTCATGCAATTTTGGCATCGTTGACAAATTGGGCCAACTGAAAATACCCAAATAAAAAGCCCACATAAACATTCGAAAGCCCGTTGAAACATTCAAACGAATAAAAAGCCCACAGGAACAAAACCGTGTGTTGATTTGATTGAAAAGAAAATACAAAGTTGGAAGTTTCCTTCTTCTTTTCCTTTTTTGGATGATTATGTGGTAATTAGCTTGTCATTGCATTTAGATCAGGGAGACTTCAAAGTTGCCAGGCCCCAATTGGTAGAGGTGGCCTTGACGCGGATGATGTGGGGTCCACGTCAGACTACGAGTTGGAAAGTCCCACGTCGGCCACAATTATTTTCCCGTGGAGTCATTGTTGTTCCTGTACCGTAGCACTCTCCCATCGCTTTATTATTTGCCTCTTCTTTCATATTTTGATTTGATTGGACAATTTTGTTTTGACTAGAAAATAATGTTGGCCGCCATCAAACTTTTCTACACCCCTTTTATGGCCCAATCAATTTTATCTCCTTTTGCTTTTATCAAACTCAAATTTGTATTTTCCGTCTGGATGGTTGCCGAGTTTTAATTTTATACGTTGTGCAGAAATAATCACAGAATATTCAAGTCTACTTTGATCCATAATTGCTAAATCAAGTTGAGGACCAATCAAATCAGGGGTTAGTGAAAACTCAGGTGTTAAAAAAAGTCTTGGTCTCCTCGTTACTCTCTTGCATACTCTATAATGTTCTTAGTAATAGTAGGTTTTGGCGGGAGGTGTTATTTTCTCCAATCAGCTAATAATTAACTACAATGAATCTTAATTTTATTTCGGGATTCAAAATTTGGGACTTTGTATTATTACACGAAGAGCTAGTTGGTAGTGAAATTTAAACTTATTAATGTGTTTGTTTCTTAAATGAAATCAAACGATTCACCCAATACAAAAATAATGTCATATCATAATTTTGATGCATTACAATTTATACTAGGAACCATTCCTATTATTATTATTAATTTTTAACTTGGCCAATAATATTATATGGGAATCTTATGTAACATGAGGCTACTAACGGTGCCAAAATATTAAAATGATGAGTCCCCCATGGTAGGCGTTGTCATGCCAATCAATAATTCCACTAGAGAAAAGAGAAACAAAAAAACAAAGAAGAGAAAAATCAAAGCTCATCAGACAAGCTTTTGAAAATTGATTTGTCTGATAAAAGTGATAAACATGTCATGCAGAGATAATGATCTGTTGATGATCTCCCTCCAAACACAGAATCCCAATCGAAGCACAAAGACCAAAACAATAATTTGTCAAGTCAACCAAAAACCATCACAGAAGAAAAAGAGAAGAAGCCCAAAATAACCTCATAGTTTTCTTGGTGAAGGCAGATGCCGTTTTCCAAAACCCATTTCAACCACACCTCCATAGCCATAACTATCCCACTGGATATAGCAACCAAAGTCATGGCTTCATTAATGGCTCCGGTGAGTCTGAAAATGACTCAGTGCAGGCTCGGCGGTTAGTTGGGCACAGTCTTCACTGCTGTCATTAAATGTTTTACCTTCTTTTTTGCTTCTCAAAATCTCTACTGCCCGTGCCGCTCTCTTTTAGAAACTCCTATTAAGTTTCTCTAATCAAAAGCTTATTAGTCATCATATTCCCATTTTTATTATTATAACGTGGGTTGGGTTTAGGCGCTGGCGTTTCAAGAATGCAGACTCAAAGCTCGTGACTGGAGCTGAGTAAGAATTTTCCCTTTTATTTTTTGTTCAGTTCTACAGAGCACAAAACAGAAAGAAATTTGCCATTTTGTTCATTGGGTAATTCTTGTATTGCTTAAATTTTCTTTCTTTGGTAAAGAAAAGAACAATCCCAGAGATGACCAAGAAGAATCTCCATTGACCATCATGAAACTGTTCTCTGTATTGTCACAAACTGAAACAGCAATGGGAGTGAGAACCCAAGTTGGCGCCTTTGCAATAGCGCTAATCTTGTTCTTGATTCAGAGCGGTTTTGCCCAGCAAGGTTCTTTAAGCTCCAGCGTACAACGGTCAGCGTTACTAGACCTCCGGTCGTCGTTGGGTCTCAGAAGCAAAGACTGGCCCATAAAGGCTGACCCTTGCTCTTGGACCGGAGTTACATGCAAGAACGGCAAAGTTATTGGGATCACGGTGTCCGGTTTAAGGCGAACCAGACTTGGCCGGACCAACCCCCGCTTCGCCGTAGATTCATTGGCCAATTTCACCCTCTTGGCTACTTTCAACGCCTCTGGCTTTGCGCTTCCCGGGACTATACCCGAATGGTTTGGCCAAAGACTAAGTGCTCTCCAAATGCTTGATCTTAGGTCTGCTTCGGTCACTGGTCCTATACCTCAGTCGCTTGGTAATTTGAGCAAGCTTAATACTTTGTATTTATCTGGAAATAATATTGCTGGTATTATACCTTCTGCACTGGGAAACATAGCACAGTTGGTGATTCTTGATCTTTCGCGTAATTCACTTACTGGTTCAATACCGTCAGGTTTTGCCTCTCTAAGAAATCTTACAAGGCTTGACCTTTCTTCAAATTTCTTATCTGGGCAAATTCCACCAGGTTTAGGTACCCTTACCAGACTTCAATTCTTGAACCTAGCTAATAATAGTCTCACTGATTCCATTCCTGTTCAGTTTGGTAACCTTTCCCAGTTGCTTGAGCTTGATCTTAGCAAGAATTCGTTGTCTGGGTCATTTCCTGTGGAATTGAGGGGATTGAGGAGTTTGAGGAAGATGGAGATTGGAAATAATGATCTAGAGGGTCCACTGTCAGAGGGTTTGTTTTCAACTCTTGTTCAGCTACAAGTTCTAGTTCTTAGTCGGAATAAGTTTGATGGTGCTCTTCCTGGTGCATTGTGGTCACTTCCCAGTTTGCGCTTTCTAGATGTCTCCAGCAACGATTTTACAGGAACTCTGCCGAGCCTGGGCCCAAATGCTAGTGTTAGTGGTGCTGTGTTCAACCTCTCTTATAATCTCTTATATGGAAACCTGACTCTTCCTCTTGGGAAATTTGGTTCAATCGATTTGTCTGCTAACTTTTTGCAAGGCAAGGTGCTAGAAGATAGTCAAAGCAATGGTACTCTTGCTAGAAATTGCCTTCAGATGTTACCAAATCAAAGGAGTTTGCAGGATTGTAGGCAGTTTTATGAACGGAAGAGATTAATGTTCGATGATTTTGGGGCCCTAGAACCAACTCAGCCACCTTTCCTTCAACCTGACTCGAAGAGCAGGAAGCGATTAATATTTATACTGGTTGGGATATTTGGCGGACTTGGCTTCATTGGGATTTTGGTACTTGTTCTGGTAGTGCTCCTGAAAATGTGCAATAAAAGCACAAATCAACGAGGAAGTGCAAATGTCGGGCCTGTTCCAGATGGAGATGGCCCTTCAATCCCCAAAGATCTCGTCTATGTATTTGGCCGAGGAGATTCATTTACATATGAGCAGATTCTCCAATTCACTAGAGATTTTAGTGAAGCAAATCTTATAGAGCATGGACACTCTGGAGACATATACCTGGGGTCCTTGGTGAGTGGAACACCTGTAGTAATCAAAAGGGTAGATTTGCATTGCGTCAATAAAGAATCCTATGTGCTAGAAATGGATTTATTCAACAAGGTTTCACATACAAGATTGGTGCCACTTTTGGGGTACTGCTTGGAGCACGAGAGCGAGAAGTTTCTGGTTTACAAATACATGCCAAATCGAGACTTGGCTAGTTCCTTGCACAGAGTTACCAATTCAGAAGATGGCAATTTAAAGTCCCTGGATTGGATTACAAGATTAAAAATTGCAATTGGAGCAGCTGAAGTCCTAGCTTACCTACATCATGAGTGTAGCCCACCCCTTGTTCACAGGTATTTCTGAACTTGCTTTCAGCTATTCTTGTTCTCTGTTCATTCTATGTCAACCGTTGCTGATTTCCCTTTGATCTGACATCTTGTAGTCCTTAATCATAGTGATTTGGAGTCCTTATAGCCAATAAAAACATTTCACCTCAAGTTGTTAATAGCTAAATAAAGATTTTGTGATTCTGGTTTATGATTACAACTACAACTTTTGCTGAAACTGAAGGCAAATTATGCCTTGTGGTTGATTGTAAGCCATGCTATGCCCCCTTGGTACCCCTCATTCAAGACTTTAGTTCCCATACTTACTATAGCTTGTACTCCATATTTAATTTTTCTGTATTTACAAATTTCAGTTTAGTTTATTTAGTTGAATAAGTAATTAAAAAGTTATTTTTGATGGTTGAAGGGATGTTCAAGCAAGCAGTATACTTCTCGATGATAAATTTGAGGTCCGACTTGGAAGCTTGAGTGAGGTCCGTGTTCAAGGGGATGCTAACCAAAATGTGATCACGAGGTTGTTGCGGAAACAACAGTAAGTGCTCATTCACTTATGAGTTGCCCTGCATTCATATGATCTTTGGCATTTTTCATCAAATTATAGTTCAGTCAGGGATATTTTTATCTGTTTTGTTTCTCATTCCTTTCTGTCTTGTCTGTCTTGTGCAGAACTTCTGAACAAACCCCTTCTGGTATCTACTCGAAACTTTTTTCTGCAAGTTTTCATTCCTTTTATCTTCTTCCCCCCTGCCCATCTGAAGTAAGGTTAGATTCTTCTCTTTCAGTAGATTAACTTGTTTCGTTTCTTTGTTTGTGGACAGCCTCATCATCGGTGGCTTGCGCTTACGATGTCTACTGTTTCGGGAAGGTTTTGCTTGAGCTTGTGACGGGTAAACTTGGCATCAGCAAATCAGATGATGCCTCAACAAGAGAGTGGCTGGATCACACAGTGCGTTACATCAGCATATATGACAAGGAACTGGTTAATAAGATTCTTGACCCATCTCTGATAGTAGATGATGATCTACTGGAAGAGGTATGGGCCATGGCAATCGTGGCCAGGTCCTGCCTTAACCCCAAGCCTTCCAAGCGTCCCCTGATGAGATATATCCTTAAAGCATTGGAAAACCCTCTAAAAGTGGTGAGGGAAGATAGTTCGAGCTCTGCAAGGCTGCGGACAACTTCATCTAGAAGATCCTGGAGCGCTGCTTTCTTCGGTAGCTGGCGGCACAGCTCATCGGAGAGTGCCACTGTTCCTGGCCATGCAAACAGGGAGAGCATCAGTAGCTTAAAACAGCCGGGGCTACTAGGTGGAAATGAGTCTTCCGCTTCCCGTAAAAGGTTATCAAATGAAATTTTCCCTGAGCCGATTGAAATGCAAGATCTCGAGAGGCAAGAAGAACATTGAAAGAGTGCTGAACCACCAGTTTCATTGCTTGGCAACTGGGTTTATGAGGCATCTGGTTTGATGTTCATCTGGCGGAAATGTAAATGGAAAATCAAGTTGATCCATTAAGTTGAGACAGATTCTTATTCATATTAGAGCTTGTTAATTGTAGAAAACAAGCCGCAAAGTCTCTGTGATAGATGTTTTTAAAAAAATATCCCAAGAATGGAGTATAAAATTTGATAAAAGATCTTGGGAAATTCTTCTTGGGACAATTTTCCTGACCAGAATTCAAATTTCAGTCGTCAAAATTTGAAGGGAAAAAAAATTCATTAATCGTTAATCAACGATACATCGTCTGGAAATAATATAAAATATTCTAAGTGAAATTGACATTGGCATGTTTACTAATTCGTAATTGAATTAAGAATGAATTGAATTGAGGAGAAATTGAATTGAGGAGAATTAGATTCAAAATTCCTATTGAAATTTTTTTGCTGTGTTTTCTCTGGGTTGTTCTAGTTTGGGTGGTTTCTCTTCGCCCCTTGAGAGCAAGTCCACCCATGAAGGCAAAGGCAAGGCTAAGGCAAGGCAAGGGCTGTCACTATTCATGTGAATAGTATCAGCCTTGCCTTAGTTGGTTCCACCCATTGAGGCTATATAATACAACAATACAACAAATTAAAGGATAATACAACAATACAACAAATTAAAGGATAATACAACAATACAACAAATTAAAGGATAATACAACAATACAACAAATTAAAGGATAATACAACAATACAACAAATTAAAGGATAATACAACAATACAACAAATTAAAGGATAATCCAACAATACAACAATACAACAATACAACATATGGCAAAGGTGTTTCAATACAACCTAATGGTTTTCATCATTTAACCAATCCGTATTGCTAGGTCCGTCGTCTTGGAAAAGTTTTCTTCTCATCACATCCCTTCGTTTTATTTTCCAGTATGACTTTGTGTCAGGAGACATATGGGTGGTATCCATGGACATGATTTTCATCTCTCTATCCCAACATTCGTGACTATGGAAAGTTTTTTTGCCTTGCCCCGTCGCTCCGAACCACATTTGTGCTTGTACGATCTATTAAAAATAAATAGTTGCAAATGCAACAAAAAAAAATGAATATAGAAGAAAATATAAATAATTTGGAAATGCAAGAAAATAATTGATTATGCAACAAATTATAAACATTTTATAAATGCAATAAATAAAATGATTATACAACAAAACAATAAATATGTAAGAAAATATAAAGCATTTACAAATGCAAGCAAAAAAATTATTATGCAACAAAATATAAATAAATTAGAAATGCAAGAAAAAAAAATTATAATATGCAAGAAAAAAAATTGATACATTAAATTAAATAAAACGAGAATTATAAATATTTTACCTCATCGGTAAGATTTTGACCGCTTCTATGGTTCTCCCTAGCTTTTGCCAAGGCATCCCTCCATTTGCCTAACTCTTTATTCAAAATTTTCCACCTGGAGGCTAAGGCCATTTCCGTGCGCCCCGAACCGAATCTTTCAACAAATTCTTCATGAATTTTTTTCCACATTTGAGAAAACTTCATCTCATTGCCGGATATAGGGCAATGACTAACTTTCACCCAACACTCACACAACACAACATCTTCAACAGTACTCCAAGAGCCTCGGGCTTCGACAGAAGAGGCCATTTGTTTTTTTGATACAAATGGAAACTTGTAGAAAAATGTGAGTGGAATGGAAAAAATATTGCAAGGAGAAGAGTTGGTATGAAGATTTGGTGTGGAAGGTAAGTTAAATTGATAGGTATTTATAGGGAAAAAATACATAATTTTTTGGTATTTTTTTTTAAAAAAATTTGAATTTTTTTCGATTTTTTTTGCAATTTTTTTGGCGGAAAAAATGAGGATCGTCGGATTTCTGCAAAAAAAATGATCGGAGAGCTGGGGAATCGCCACGTGGCTTCTGCCCGTTGGGACCTGCAGGCGCTGACGTCAGCGAGCGGAAGTGAAATTTTTTTACTGTTGGCGCGTGAAATTCACGCGCCAACGGTAAAAAAAAAATTTGAATTGGTGAGGGCTGACGTCAGCGTGACGTCACGCGTGACGTCAGCGCCTTCGGGCTTCAGCCCAGGCAAGATCTGCCCGTGGGCTTGCCCAGGTACGTAGGACCCACCACTTGCCCAGGCTTCATTTCTTCCGCTGGAGCTGCAATGGGCTAGCCCGAGGGGCCTTTTGCCCGGTTTTGGTGCATGGCTGGAGGAGCTCTGAAGAGTTGCTCGGGAGTTTGTAGTTTTGCTCCTGTTGTGTTGTGGCTGTCTTGCTGTTTTTTTAGTCTGGGCTGTTTGTGTGGCTGTTGTTTTGTGCTCTCTTTTCCCTTTCTATGAAAGTGTGTTTCGAACAAAAAAAAAAAAAAACCATATGGATAGAGGGGAGTTAGATTCCATATTCCTATTGAAGTTGTTTACTTAATTATATGGAATTGAGATATGAGTGATGCTAATTACTCAAATGTCCTCGTTGATGGGTTAAAGTAGATGACACATTTGAAATTTTGAATATTGTGTGAGGATATAATGGGTAAAAGAGATGAATTCCTAATGAGTTCATTATTCAAGAATTAGAATACCACCTCCCACTCAGGAATTGAATTCCTTCCAAATCAGGAATTCAATTCCTAATTTTGTGTGGCCCCACTTACTTTTCAATTCCTTGATGTGAAATAAACGCAGAAAACCTCCATATGCGGAATTTAATTCCTGATTAGTAAACACACCATTAGTTGTAACACGCAAGAAACTAGGCATCCATAGCAATCACCACCTTAATAGTCGAAAATAGTTTGTACCACTTTAGGGGCAATGAAAGTACATTGCTTAAGCACTTGATTTACAGTTATTCTATTGAAGCAAATCATTTATGGGGGGAAATAAGCTTTGTACAAGCTCTGTTTTGATGCTTCCCAAAGCCAAACAACTAACTATGCTCCTCCCTAAAATGCTTGCCTCTTCTTCTTCTTCTCAAAATGTTTCACAAGGGAATAATATCGAATTCATGGGGCATGTAATCTTCACTGGGTCTGTAGTATTTGTCTGGGGAGTAGAGGCTCAAGTTGGAAACTTGGCTAGTATAAAGGCAGGCAAATCTCTCGACCTGCATTACGAAAAGCCAAGATTGAGAGCAATATTCCAAAAATGAAATCCAATTGATGAGAAGGGATGAAAGTTAAAAGGAATTTATCGATTTTTAAAAAGTCAATGTTCAACGTTTTTCATTTCGCATAATGCAAAGGCAAGGTTACACCTCACCTGATGAGCAAAGCGAGAGTTCTGATAACCAGTCTTCATGAGTTGTCCCCAAATCTTGTGAAACTGCAGTTATAGGCAAGCAAACTAAAAATTCAAAATTCTTGATACCAAATTCAACAGAATTTACATGACACTGGACTAAAGCCCAGGAACTAGGAAGCATGGTTCGTGTTGTACAAGAGAATCACTACCATTTTGTGACATTCTCGTTGTGCATCTTGATGAGTGATCCGAACTCCATCTCTTTCAGACTATAAAATTAAACCATTAAGGAATAATTAATACAAGAGCCACAACAGTTAAGCACATATTTAAGTGGCTGAAATAAATTTAGCTTCACAGGTTAACAGCCTAACCTCCAAAGCATTGTATTCAGAAGATAGTTTTTGCTTCTCATCGGCACTGGTATCTTCAAATCTGAACAAACCAACCTCACTTCTGTGTGAATATTTCCCCAAAAAGGAAAAAAAGGAAAAAAAGGAAAAAGAAAAGCAATATGGCCATCTAGATAGATACTGACTTCAGAGACCACTTTAAATGATGTATTTTGTCTTCAATGAGATCGCGTTCATTCCTCAACTTTCGAAGTTGCTGTATGAAACCATTGCATGCAAGTTACATTCTACTAACGCTTGTTGCTTATGAAACCTCCCATAATTAAAGCAGTTTAACAAGAAGTTTAAAAAAGACCTTGCGTGTATCTCTCAATTCCCATAGGAGTTCAACCTCCCTCTCTAGCTCTGGAACAACAAGCATTGTTCTCCACCCTGCTCATAAAGACAAAAAAAGAGGACAAAGACAATCAGATTAGGAGAAAGAAAATAAAAGAAAGAGAAAATATACATTGTCAAAAAAGTTGACACATAAGACAACTGAATATCAAAAAGAAGGGAAATTAGAAGATTTAATACCAAGAACCTTTTTGCTGCGCAAAATATCTCCATATATATGATCACCAACATAGAGAACCTACTAAAAATGTGCAAGGTATTAGACCCCAGCATCCAACTTCAAAATGGGACGACACAGCATTGATCTCAATAATCAAAGCAAAAGAAAATGTCAACCAACTATCTAGAATGAAATTCACCACAGCTTCAGGAGAGAATAGTTCACCTGTGAACTTGACTCAATTGAAAGCAGTTTATGAAGATGGCCAACACTGCCTCCCTGAAACAAGGCCAATGGCATCATTACTCAGATTTAAAAAAAACTAAAGTAGCAAAGTAATTAATTAGCAAAAAATAAAATAAAATGGAATACTTGTATATAGAAGACAAAGATGGTAGTGAATTCATTTAAAGCAATTCAGATAAAGCTCTTAATATGGTTCTATGATGCACTAGATATATTTAGAAGAGTACCTGAAAAACTCTACAAGCCTTATCTCCCTTCAATGATAATCTAGGTGAAGAACTTCCAACCTTTTTATAAAAATATAAATTAATTATTAAAACTAGATAAAACAAGGGAATACATAATGTGCTAGTCATGAACTAACAAAACTAGCATACCAACCTGAGCCATAGGAGAACCATTATCAGTATTAAGTAGCATCCCGGACTCATGTTCAACCTCAAACAGATTAGCACGATTACCTTCATGGAAGAAGCTTGGCTTTGCACTGTATAGGCAACAGCTTTCAATGGTTAGTATAATGACAGTAACTATGATATAGATGCTAAACTCTATATAGTAACTTATATCAGTGTGGAAGTGAAAATTGAAATGGCCTAGGATGGGACGAAGTGGAGGACCATGATTTAAATAATTATGAACACAACAATAAACAACATAAATAAAAAAAGCTATAGTATGTCAAAGGGTATGGCAACTGAAATCTACAATAGCATTCTTCAATTGAAGACTTAATAAATTGAATGGTAATATAGTGCTAAAGAACAATAACAAAGTA